CACTATGACATGTTTATACTAAAGTTGTAAAATTTATCAGTTAAGAATCTAAAAGTAATTTTTATCAAAATATTTATACAACAATGAAATTCTTTTAATGATTGTTAAAAATGTAAAAGTTAATTTTTGGATATTGAAATAATTAATGTTTTCATAATTGATACTGTAAAAGCATTTTGACTAGGAAATGCTATGTTACAAATACCATTTCACTGGTTAGTGATGTAAAATGAAATAATCAGTGTCTTAATTATTTTACCCCTGCACAACAAAGTTGTAAAGGGGGTATACTGGAATCAGCTTGTCCGTCCGGCTGTCTGGCCGTACAAACCCAAAGGTACTTGTGTGACTTTGAGAACAATGGGTAACAGTAAATTCTCTTTGATCCTATTCATTCCGTTTTTACTTGTGTGTCTTTTTTAAGCCTTGTGTGACTTAAAATGGCCAAAAAGATCAAAGGAAAAGTCACATAAGTACCATTTTGTGAGTAAGTTCGTCCGGCTGTCCGTCAGTTTTTGCTTGTCCGCCCAATAAATTAAGATTCCTTTGACTCACAGTCTTGATATTTGGCATGCAGGTCAGTCATGATTAGTAGATGACTCCTATTGATTTTGAGGTCAAAGGTCAAGGTCACAGGGGCCTTGAATTTAAAATGCTTGTCCGCCAAATAACTTAAGATTCCTCTGACCCAGAGTCTTCATATTTGGCATGGAGATAAGTCATGATTAGTAGATGATCCCTATTTATTTTGAGGTCACCAGGTCAAAGGTCAAGGTCACAGGGGCCTTGAATCCAAAAAGCTTGTCCCCCAAATAACTTAAGATTCCATTGACCCACAGTCTTCATATTTGGCATGGAGGTTAGTCACGATAAGTAGATGACTACTTTTGATTTTGAGGTCAAAGGTCAAGGTCACAGGGGCCTTGAGAAAAAAATATTGTCAGCCCAATAACTTAAGAATCCTTTGACCTACAGTCTTCATTTTTGGCATGGAGGTTAGTCATGATTACTACATGACCCTTATTTATTTTAAGGTCACAGGGGCCTTGACTAATAAAAGCTTGACCACCCAATTACCTTAGAATCCTTTGACCAACAGTCTTCATATTTGGCATGGAAGTTGGTCATGATAAGTAAATGACCCCTTTTGATTTTGAGGTCAATGGGTCAAAGGTCAAGGTCACATGGGCCTTTAGTTCAAAAAGCTTTTCTGCTCAATTGCATAAGAATGCTTTGCTCAACACTCTTCATGTTTAGTATTGAGGTTGGTTATGATTATTAGATGACCCCTTTTGATTTTTAGGTGACTGTGTCAAAGGTCAAGGTCACAGGGGCTTTTATTACAATAAGCTTTTCTGCTCAAATGCTTAAGAATGCCTGTCCACAGTGTTTTGAGTTTTACATTTTTACATGTGAAGCATATAATTATGTTCTCATATATTCATTGTTAAACACCTCCAGGCAAAGCTGCATGAATAGGGGGAGGGGGGGGGGTAAAGGTCACTTTGATCTTTGCCACTAAAAACATGTAGAATATATAACTTAACAATGCACTGGCTTACTTTCCTCAGATTTGGCTTGGAGGTTGTCCTTGAGCTCTAAATGACCACTGTTGAGTCTGACAAAGTGGTATGCGGGGTATTCACGCCATGACAGTGGCAGTTTTAGTAATATAATATTAGGTTTTTATCATTTAGATTGTTATTAAACCTAAACATTGTTGAGCACAATGAATTCTTTCATACTTCAAATATATGTACCTTATCATCATCCACGTCTTATTGACAAGGTTCATAACTCTAGCACCAACATTTTCAGATTTATCTCCCCTTGAACTTAGAATTTTCCTTAAAAATGTTTTTTTACTATACATTTTTTAGTTTTAAAGGTATCTACCTCAAACTTCAAATACTTATTACTTATCATCAATTACATGTTATGTGACAAGGTACATAACTCTAGCACCAATATTGCAAGAATTATCTCCCAGTAAACTTAGATTTTTTTACTTGAAAAATGTTATTTTTTACTATAACTTTTTTAGTTTTAAAGGTATCTACCTCAAACTTCAAATACTTATTCCTTATCATCAATTACATTTTATGTGACAATGTTCATAACTCTTGAAGCAATATTTACAGATTTATCTCTCTTTGAACTTAGGATTTTCTTTAAGAAATATTATAACTTCTTTACATTTTAGGGTATCTACTTCAAACTTCAGATATATATTTCTTATCATTACACACATGTTGTGTGACAATGTTCATAACTCTAGCATGACTATTTCTAGAATTATTCCCCTTGATCTTGGAATTTATGTGTTTTTAGCTCACCTGTCACAAAGTGACAGGGTGAGTTTTTGTGATCGCTTTTCGTCCGGTGTCCGTAAACTTTTACTTTAAATGACATCTCCTCATAAACCACTAAGCCAATTTCATCCAAACTTCACAGGAATGTTCCTTAAATGCTTACCTTTGAAAATTGTTCAAAGAATTTAATTCCATGCAGAACTCTGGTTTCCATGGCAACCAAAAAAAAAACTTTAAATATCTTCTTCTCAAAAACCCAAAGAGCTAGAGCTTAGATATTTGGCATGAAACATCTTCTAGTGAGTGTCTACCAAGTTTGTTCAAATAAAAGCCCTGGGGTCAAAATTGGCCCCACCCCAGGGGGTCATTGATTTTCCCTATAGTAAAAACTTAAAAAATCTTCTTTTAAAGAATCCAAAGAGCTAGAGCTAAGAAATTTAGCATGAAACATCTTCTAATGGGTGTCTACCAAGTTTGTTCAAATAAAAGCCCTTGGGTCAAAATTGGCCCCGCCCCAGGGGGTCATTGATTTTCCCTTTATGCATATAGTAAAAACTTAAAAAATCTTCTTTTAAAGAACCCAAAGAGCTAGAGCTAAGATATTTAGCATGAAACATGTTCTAATGGATGTCTACCAAGTTTGTTCAAATAAGAGCCCTGGGGTCAAAATTGGCCCCGTCCCGGGGGTCATTGATTTTCCTTATATGTGTATATCAAAAACTTAAAAAAGCTTCTTTGAAAAAAACCAAATAGCTAGAGTTTAGATACTAAGCATGAAACATCTTCTAGTGAGTGTCTACCAAGTTTGTTCAAATAAAAGCCCTGGGGTCAAAATTGGCCCCGCCCTGGAGGTCATTGATTTTTCTTATATGTGTATAACAAAAACTTAAAAAATCTTCTTTGAAAAAACTCAAATAGCTAGAGTTTAGATATTAAGCACGAAGCATCTTCTAGTGAGTGTCTACAAAGTTTGTTCAAATAAAAGCCCTGGGATCAAAATTGGCCCCGCCCCAGGGGACATTGATTTTCCTGATAGATGTATAGCAAAAACTTAAAAATCTTCTTTGAAAAAACCCAAATAGCTAGAGTTTAGATATTAAGCATGAAACATCTTCTAGTAAGTGTCTACAAAGTTTGCTCAAATAAAAGCCCTGGGGTCAAAATTGGCCCCACCCCGGGGGTCATTGATTTTCCTTATATGTGTATAGCAAAAACTTAAAAATCTTCTTCGAAAAATCCGAATAGCTAGAGTTCAGATATTAAGCATGAAACATTTTCTAGTAAGTGTCTACAAAAATTGTTCAAATAAAAGCCCTGGGGTCCAAAATGGCCCTGCCCCAGGTGTGTCATTGTTTTTAACTATATGTGTAAAGGAAAAACTTGACCAGCTAGACCTTAGATGTTTAGCATGAAACATCTTCTAAGGGGTGTCTACCAAGTTTGTTCAAATGAAAGCCCTGGGGTTTAAACTGGCCCTGCTACGGGGACCTATATACAGGTGAGCGACTTCAGGGCCATCATGGCCCTCTTGTTTTTATTTGTTTTTTACTATAACTTAATACATAATTATACGTAATTTTATATTACGTATTCATAGTTTTGTCTTCCCTTCTGCATCCAGTATTTTATTAGTTGAGCTTCACTCTCTCCTGTGACAGCTCTTGTGTCAAATGTTGTATAGTACTTAAGCCGGTTCTAGGGGACGTGGACGTTAACTTGCACTTACCAGTACCGTGCATGAACAGGCCTGGCAACATTTTTCGATTTTGCCGTGTTGAGCTTACTCTAGGGAGTGTTTTTTTCTCTCTCTTATATAACTACCAACCAAGCTTTACTATAATTTAGCATAACTAATTATATTTGATCCATGATCTCATAATTATTGTCATTTTAAAATGTCATATATTTTTTATTAATATGACCCGTGGTTGGGAAAAAAAGATATTCCATGCGTTAACTAAAAATTTCTAAAGTGTTCTATTCCTAATATGTCTTCTGCCATGTATAAATTAATGAAACTTTTTTCAAAGACAGAAAAGTCCTACTTTTCCATGAATTTTTTCATTGATAATCATAATCTTGCCATGTAAATGCCATGGGATATTTTTGCCATGGATATGCCATGGCAAAATGGAAAAAAATAGAGATTGCAATACAAAAATAACAATTAAGCACCAAGAACATGTCATAGAATAAGTTTTAGAATGTTTTGAGATTTTTTAAAATATTTTTGCCATGGCAAAATACCGAAATGCCCTGGCAAAACACACTTTGCCATGGCAAATGCAAATTTTAATGCATTTTTATAAAAAAAAGTAGCAAAAATAGAAAAAAAAACCATATTAACTTTTAAACCTATTAGTAAATATAACAATTTAAGATAGATTTCATTTTTTTAAAGTGTGTAAAAATAGGGGTTGAATTTGCCAAAAACCGGCCCGTCAAAAAGAAACCGGCAGCTATTTAATACTTTATTTAATTCTCATGTCTTACAAATGCTTCATCCTTAATAAAAAAAAAAACACTTTCGGGCATATAATGCTCCACCTAGAGGTGCGGTTGTTAAACATGTTGTGTACCCATTAAGGTAATTATTAATTATTTTCACAAGCTCAAAATGGATTGAGTAAATATTAAAACTGCTCCATTAGTTATCTCATTGAGCCTTCTAAATGTTACCTTGTTCAGATACAACAACTTTGACTTTGGAATGTCCTGAAGAACAGATATGTCTAATTGGATCTCAAAAAGTTGTACAGAGCATTGAACTTCTACAACTATTGGAAACAAGGTTTGTTATGTTAAAAAAATTTAAATAATATTGAAAAGTAAGATATCATTATTATATCATTATTATCCTCCTACAAATTTGTTGAAATAAGTTTTAATGCCAATGCTCATTAAAGATTTTTGGGGTATAGTATAATAAATAAATCTTATGTATATGATAAAATACTCAAATTATCAGTCAGTTGAAATTCAAGTCATGTTCTGGATTATGCCATAAAAACGTGGTGTTAATTTGAGAAAACAATACAAAATGTGAGGAAAAAGAAACTTTGTTTTACTCAGTAATATGACTATATGTCATTTAGATGTGAGTTTTTGTTAAATTTACAAAATAAAGCTTTTAAAACAAACAAAATATCCTGTTTTTATTTTATATTCAATTCATTTTTATTATCATATATACATACAGTACATTAACTCTCAAAAATAGCAAATAATGCTTCTGGAAAATATACCATAATTATTTTACATGCTGAAAATTGAAAACATTCTGGTTAAATTACCATTTGAGGATTTGAGTCCTGAGAAAATTTTAATTATTCCAGCGCTAAGACAGATATTAATACAAGTCACTTGGTGTCTTTTATTATAAATGTAGTATGAGATATATAGGACACATTTTACAATTAGTAAATTTAATGCATTTGTTTTAAGTACTACAAACTTGTACATAATTTGTACTTAACTTTTTTTCTGAGGTATCATATTCAATAAAAGTATTTGTTTAATAATAAGAAAAGAAAACGACAAATGCTTTGTGCAACTCCTATTTAAATTTTAGACATAACATTCTTCTGCTAGTGAGAGATTATAGCCTGATAGGAGGTGCCAAGCATTTGTTCTTTTCTGATATTGATGTTGATGCAAGCACAGGAATTGTCTTAGAAGACATAAAAGACTTGAATGATGATTGTGCTGTTCAAAACCTTGTTACAAAGATGGTGGCTCTTAGTTTGAAATATGTCAACTGCTGGTTAATCTTATTTGCAAACACCAAAACTGGAAGGTAAATATTACTTTAAAAAAATTGTCACATTTAACAATTTACAAGGAACGCAACACACACGCAGTTATAAAAATTAGCTGATTGAATGATATCAGAAATATGTTTTATTAAATGGTATTTGTACATTTGTTTTTCTTCATTTTTTTGTAATACAAACAGTTTATATTTGCAATAAAACTCACATATACAAAGTAGTATATGCCATTGTCTTTATTTATTCCAGCTACCAGTATCCAGGCCATGTCATAAATAATATTGGTAGATTACAGGCTGCAGTTGCAAATTTTGTAGACAAATCCAGTTACTTTAAAGCAAGGGTCAAGTATAATTCTGTGCTTGTGTGAATTATTTAGGCTTTCTTTTATTGGAGTTGCCTCTTTACTGTGTTGTTTTTCACCATTACTTCTAGTTTAGGGTAATGGTGAAAAATCAGCACTGAAAAAGCATTTTTAGCAATAATGATACTTCATAGAACTCAGTGTTTATACGTTATAATTAAACATTTTTATCGAGAATATTTGGTTGTATTGGTGGTGGTAGTTTACCCTCTGAATGACAGCAATAAGCCACATTGAATTCACCGAAGCACAGCTGAGCAGGCTTCCAATCAGTTTACCAGTACTAGTGCTTTCACTTTAGCAAAGAACTGATAACTTCTTTACATGCCAGAGCAGAGGGACAGGACTCCTTTTTTAAAAATCCTTTTGAGGACCCTGAAAAAAGCTACAGGAAACATATAGATAATTATGCAATTTATACCTTCTGCAGTAGAAATGGTATAATAAGTCATATACATTTGTACACTGGTAATAAGGTGCAATCATTAAAAACATATAATATGAAGTATGATTGATATTGCAGATATTGTTTTGTGAAGGTTGCAGTGAGGTGTCCTCTATAGTTCGAAGCATTAGTGAGAATTGTATGGCTCTCAGCAAAACAAAAGAACAGTGGTTAGATAGGACATGGCTGAGGGATGAAATTCAACAGGTAATATTTGACAGATGCTCATATACTTTCATTGCACTTAGATTTAAACTAGCTTTCTTGGTTTATAAGGGTTCGGATGTGTTAAAAATGTTTGCTTTGATACGATATTGAATCCTACTTACAGGAAATATATCAATCTGTATTTTTATGCAATATTAACAATGGTTTATGTGTGACGCTCAAAAGAAGCTATACTGATATAGATGATATCTCTAATTTGTCAAGTTTTGTAATGTAAATCTATCATTTTCAGGATGAAAGGGCATTACTCATGCTTCCCTGTCTTAGTTCATTCAGGTATTTGATGATTTTGTTAGATATTTATACCCCCGCACAAGGAAGTTATAAGGGGGGTATACTGGAATCAGCTTGTCCGAGCCAACATTTGATTATTATGAGCTTCATTCCGTAGTTAAATAAAGAACATAAACTCATAAAATTGAAATTAAGAGCTATTTTTTTGCTTTTATGAGCTTATTTTGCTTATGGACATTGGTCCAGGTGGTGTTTATGAGCTCATTTGCCTCATAAACATCAAATTTTGGTACGTCCGTACGGCCGGCCGTCGGTTTTTCCTTGTCCGCCCAATAACTTTAAATTCCTTTGGCCCACAGTCTTCATATTTGGCATGGAGGTCAGTCATGATAAGTAGATGACCTCTATTGATTTTGAGGTCACTAGGTCAAAGGTCAAGGTCACAGGGACCTTGACTTTAAAAAGCTTGTCCGCCCAATAGCTTGAGATTCCTTTGACCAACAGTTTTCATATTTGGCATGAATGTTAGTCATGATGAGTAGATGACCCCTATTGATTTTTAGGTCACTGGGTCAAAGATCAAGGTCACAGGTGCCTTGACTTTAAAAAGCTTGTCCGCCTAATAACTTGTGATTCCTTTACCCACAGTCTGTATATTTTGCATAGAGGTTAGTCATGATTAGTAGATGACCCCTATTGATTTTGAGGTCACAGGGTTAAAGGTCAAGGTCACAGGGACCTTGATTAAAAAAAGCTTGTCCGCCCAATAATTTGAGATTCCTTTGACCCACAGTCTTCATATTTTGCATGGAGGTTAGTCATGATTAGTAGATGACCCCTATTGATTTTGAGGTCACCGGGTCAAAGGTTAAGGTCACAGGGATTTTTACTATAATAAGCTTGTCTGCTCAAATGCTTAAGAATACCTGTCCGCAGTGACATTTGAAGCATGGAGAATACAATTAACTTAGCAATGCACTGACTTAGTAACCTCAAATTTGGCAGGGAGGTTGTCCTTGAGCTCTAAATGGCCACTATTGATTCTGACAAAGTGGTATGTGGGGGTATTCACGCCAAAATAGTGGCAGTTCTAGTTGATATATCTAAAATGGAAATAAACTTCTAATTTAGCTGTTTATTACTTTATGTAACAAGGGTAGCAATGAATATGTGTAAAGGATTTTAATTGTTAACAAAGCATTAAATTGTCAACGTAAATGTATACATGTATATGTGAAGGATTTGAATGTAAAGAAAGCACCAAATTGTCCCCATAAATGTATACATGTATATGTAAGGTTAATGACAATTGAGGTATTGTTTTATGTTTATTCATCCTTATATGTGATATGATGTTTTTTGACAGCTCCCAATTACTATTGAAAAAACTTCCTTTAGGAAGGATTTTCAAGTCATCAATGGTTGATCTTCAAAGAGATGTTTCAGAAATACCTTCTTCAATTTTGCAAGTATGTTGATTTGATTTAAATTAACTTAAGATATTGAATACTCATAAATGATATTTAATAGACTTGGACTTGTATTTTTTTAAATCTTGCGTCACAATCATATGAAGTAAGCATAAGAAAAATGTATGTATATTTTTGCCACTCTTGAAATAAGCCCTTTTGTGTTGACATTGAGCTTACAGGAGTTTATCCACATTTTTTTTTTGCATGTTTATGTACATGATGTACAAGTTGGTTTTCTAATATTAGTCTATTAAACAAATTAAATGTTACATCTTTTACACAAAACCATTTCTTATAACTCATTATTCGTTCATCACATCTTTTGTTTTCTCTTGATTACATAATTTAGACACTGGATGAATTTGTAAGGAGCAATACAGGATTGCATCTTCAAGTAGATACTTTAGAAGACCAGCTGTATGACCAGTGTGATAATACAACTTCACTTGCTAACAATGTTGTTGATGGTGTCGAAAATTCTGACAGTCAAATTAAAGAATCTTTAAGTCAAGATCAAAATGAAAATGATGAAGTGAGTAGAGATATGTATGTTTCAGAGGACTTTCAAAGAAAAGGCAGGACCACAAGATATTATAGCCACCAGCAATTACACACAGCTATGAAAAACATCCCAGCACTTCCAAATGAAGAAAAGGAGATTGATGCAATGCTCTGTGCAGAAAACAAACAATCAAATGAAACTGATAAAAACAACAAAATATGTATTGATGATCAATCTAAACATAGAATAAGGTACAACTATAGTTCAGCTGGAAGAACGGAGGATTCAAAAGAAAACAATTTTGATTCAGATGCAAAATTTAGAAAAATTAAAAATACTAAAGAAAACATACATAGAAGTGCAAATGATCGTGTTGAATGGGAACATCTTGATAATTTCATTTCAAGTAACACTAATGTAAACAGACTAACAACATGCAACAATGTCACAAATGAAATAAAAAGCGACAAGCATGAATATGAAATCAGCAAAATGCAAAATGAAAGATACTTAAATCCAGTCGAGAAACTTACAGCAATGAAAGAAAGTGATAGGTTGAAGAAATCAGAAAGTGATGAAAAATATCATAAATACATGCATACGGGTAAGGACAATAATAATGAAAGTAGGTATTTTGTTGGAGAAGCTATGAGCATAAATAACAGTAAATATTTGTCTAGCTATAGTGCTGCAAATTACCCCAGAAATCACAGTGACAGTACTGAACATATACCTCTTGAAAACAAGAGAAATGAAATGCTTGCTAATGGAATAAAAACAAGGAAGGCAATTTCACAAGAGATGAAACAAAATTTATATAAAAGCAATGTTAGTTATCCTGTTCAACCTAAACAGATCTCAAGTTGGAGTAGTAATTCTACACAAACATTTGATTACAATCATGGGTTACCATTTAACGTTGAGTCATTGGCTGTCAATGAGGGGGAAAGTAATTCATCTGGTCCTCAAATAAACTCCTTAAATGGCACTTCTAGAAATCAGCTTGGTTATGTTTTAGGTTGTAAAGTTCAAAATAGTAGGAGTGATCTTGAAAAAGAATTCCCTCCTTCTGACGAGATTGACAGATCAATTTTCAATGAAAAGTCAGCTGCAGGGCCATGTAAATACACAAACGTTGCAGGGCCATGTAAATACACGAGCAATGACGGTATTCCAGTGGTAGGGAGGCCTCATGTTTACGGTGATACGGATCGGCAAGAATATCATTATTTACCAAATTCCATTGATAATAGACTTGAGCAAAAGGAATGTCAACATTTTCAAAACGATGATGATCCAAAATTAAGTCGTATTAACACTAATGAATCTCAATTTGTCTTCAGACCAAAAATAGTAGATAACTCAACTGACAGAAGAAACGCAAATTCTGAACATGTTGGTGGAAAGGATTTGGTATGGAATCCAAATTTAGAAAGGATAACACGAAAACCACAGTGTCTCGAGGAACATCCTGTAAAGCCTAGTAGCAGTCATACTCAATCGCTTGCTGATGATCTTAGGGAAACTACACGGAAGTTACTTGCCAACTCTCAGCAATTTTCAAGGTTTATTTTCTTATCTGTTAAAAATAAGAAAGGTTAATATGCATGTATCTTTTTCTGTCACTGAGTCTCATCTTATATCAATCAATTTAACCATTGATTATTTATTTTGAAATGTTCTTGAATAAACAGTTGTACAGTCTCGTTTATTTTCTAAAATACATGTAGTATTAAAAGAATTGAAAAACAGTATTTTGCTGATTTTTGTAATTTAGAAGCAAAAAAAAATGCACAAAGGTCATGGTTTAAAATATTTGCCTCACTTGAATTACTTAGGAACTGGAAAGACGGTTGGTCCTTTGGTATGTGTATAATGTCATACATTTCACTGTTTTTGTTTAAGGTTCGACACTCGTTTAAAAAGACATCCTTTACAGAAAGTAAGCATAGGCCTGGCAACACCACGTGTAAGAAATTATAAAAACCAAACAACTGAAGGTAATCTTCCTTATTCTTATTACCAAAATTAATTGATCACTTTTCAGACTTCATATCAAATTGAAGACGCATTAGCAAACGAAAGTAAATGTTTTATGCAATAAAGTATTACTGAAAATCCAAAGTTTGATATTTAATTACTTTGCATTTTTTCTATGCCCGCTAACTAATATAACTGTATGTAGCGAATCTCAATCAGCAGAAAGGGTTACATCAAAAATACCCTGAAGTACAAACATTTCACCAAAATAGATCTTAGGATGCATTTTGTGAAGTAATCTTTGAATGTTGATGTTAATTTTGCTTGTAAACACCTTTGACCTTAGTCATAACATCTGCATCTATATGCTACAGTCTTCATACAAGATTATTTGTTGAGAACTTCTTTGATTTTGATACAGTATTTTTTAGTTTTCACTTGCATTACGTGACAAAATCTTTAATGGGCTAGATTTGTGAATAAAGACAACAAAACAATTTAGATTTTAATAAATTTTATAGATCATATCTAAATTTACGTTTTACATATACCTTCAAAGAATATAAGATCACAACATCAATAAATATCCGTTTATGTAAACACAACACATACATATTAAATACAGCCTTACAATATCTTTGCATACACGAACACGAATCACAGGTCAAATAAATGTTAAAGTAGTTGATAAATATTCTTTTCTTACTAAAAATAGACTACACAATCTGTTTCAGTTAATCATTAATAAAAACAGCACACGTAAATGCAAAGTCATTATGTATCTAAGCAGTTCTTATGGTGCATTATCAGGAAGAAATGCATAATGCTGTCTGGTTATAATTGAATTGTTTATATGGGAAGTTTCTTGCCTGTGGTTTCCTGATATCATGAAATGTGCTGATATATGGCTGTGATAATTGAAATAAAGATGAAAGTCGATTAATTGAGTCTTAAAACAAAAGCATCTTTCACATTCAAACAACGGTCACAATACAATAATTGATTAACAATTTCACAATGCCTGGAAATATTAAAACATTTTCTATGTCCGTGTTAAAGCTGCTGATAAAAAACACTTCAAACTATTATGTCGCGGTATTGAATGTACATGCTTATAAAATTGCCATTGTCATTGGTTGAAGTATTCAGCATTCAAAATGTTATCACAGGCAGAAGCATAAACTTGTGTTTTGTGAATATTTTCAGTTTTGCAGACCTCTGAAAATGAGCATAGAATGATGGAGCAATCTCCTTGGGCAACAGACGATTCTCCTCCCATGGATTTAGATTACGAAAATTCTGAGATTAGCAGAATGCTTCAAAACGAATCTGGTATTTCTGTTTTTAATGTTAAACAGAAAAAAAATTAGTTCAAAAATGTATATTTTGTAAGGAAATGATTGTTAGTTCTCTGTGATCTTAGACTTTGACATAACCAAGACAAAATGATAAATCATTATTTTCTTAGATTCCCAAGTATGACTTAGCTAAAAGTTCATTCAACACATGATTGAACTTTTTATTTATGTTATATGTAATTAAAATGTATGTAATTCCTTAACATTTTAATGCTGCGGAAACTTGGTCGCCTAAAGAAATGCAAATCTTTTTTAAACAAAATTAGAAACATTGTAAAATAACCGTTCTTTTAACTTGCCATTAGTAATGCCTGATTTTAATGCAAACTATATAAACAAAAAGAAAATATTTCTTCTCATTAGAATTAAATTACTTGCTTGAAACAATACAAAAATAAGACGACTTCTTGATAGCACTTGCAAAAGACGTATCAATCAAAACAACAACAAAACATTGATAATGTTCTAGTATTTTTCTTTCACTGTCTAATGTCTATATTTACATCAAGGGCATCAATCTTAAAGAAACAATTTTATAAATTGCTTTCTTATACTGTCATTTTAGCAATTGTTTTTGTTTATTTATAATTGTAAATGTATTTTTTCCTATGAAATATATCACTCTAAAAAACGTGACAATATGGCACGCGTTAATATTTTCTTTAAAATACATTTTAAAAAATAATATGTTTTTCCCCTTCAAAGGTGAACTAAATACATAAAAGAAAATTCACTTAGCATCTATTTTTAAAGTACATCTATTTAAATAATGTTATAATAGCTATGTTGATACAGTGAATATTGTTAATTATTTTGTCCAGTAGTTCTTGCTAACAAATGGCTTATTCTGTTGAAAACCCTGTTATAAACAAAAACCTCTTGGCAACTTCAAACGATAGCAAATATTCATTTTAAGCTCAGCAATTACTGTGTTCTCATAAAAGTAAAGTTACGAAATAGAATAAAGTGATAGCATTACACCATATATTACTTTAATCAGTAAATATCTTACAACCTTTGATAAAAAAAGAAAAGAATATGAAAAATTTTAATAGCACGATTTAAAAAAAATCACTAGAAAAGAAAAACTGCCTTGAGTTACATGAATTGATACAATGATATTTACTCACTTTAGTCTTCATGATTAATCGTTGACGCTTAACACTGATTAATTTCTTTATACATACACTTTGAACAAACAACAATGCTTATATCTGTTTAATTCGGATTTTTTTTCTAAATTTCAATATCAAAATAATGAAATTGAGCTGCCAACAGTATAGAGCCTTGTCATACTGCATAGAAATGAATGCTATCTTGGCTCAGTACTGATGGCAAAGGCTAATATTTTCCGGTTCCTACATGTTAATGGCTATGGTCAAAGGACATCACTTGTTTCAGTTTCAGAGGTGACCTAAAATTGATTTTTTTTTTAATATTTGTCCTTTCAATAATATAATGTTACGATGCAATATAAACTTTTGGTCGATTGTATAACCTCACAGTGTAGCATTTGTGGCAAACTCTTTTACTGTATCTCCAAAAAAGTCATCATGACCTGTTACAGTTCAAAATAAAATTGAAGCTAAGATGTAGTTAAAGTCAGACAAAAATGAATATCTCTCAATATTCACAATCTACATATGTATTGTTTACTTGATATAATGATCGTTGCTTTATTGATTCAGTGAGAGTGAATACCAGACAAATTGATAGAAAAAAATCAGCATGAATTCCAAGTTTTAACAATATATATGTGATAATTACACTGTTGGTGTTGTTTTATTTTCAGAAACATCAAATCGGGTTATCTACACAAATCAAACTCCCAGGAAGAAAAGAAAGTTGACTTACCAGTTTGTTCCTGGCAAAGGTCAAACTAAACTTGTCTTCAAGTAATTGTCTTGTTTTTTTTTTTTTCTTTCAAATATCTATGCGACTTACGACTTCTGTAAATAATTGACACTCAACGAGTATTAATAAAAAAAATAAAAGCTGTTTTGTTCGTTGTATGTGTTGTGATTTAATTTGGAATAAATATTAGAATGGCATTAATTGGAAATGTTTTGTTATATTTTACGATGTATGTTTTTAAAAAGTTGGTTACATGTACCATTTACGCGATAAACTGATTTTGTTTACTCAATTGGTCTTATAAATACCACAACCAACATAGATAACATAGACACGGAAATTACAGAATAGTAAACTTTAGGTGCAAGAGAACTAGGGTAGTATTCTCCGTAGTTGCACATGGTCGTCTCACAGCACTTGCTGCATTCGGTGGTAGAATTGTCACCGTCTGTGCAGTAAAAACTCTTATAATCTAAGGTGCACGACTGACTAGAGCATGATCGGTTATACGTCTGAATTGTTGAGTTGATAATTGTAACCCGAGTCTGAAATTTTTTAAAAATAACTTAATTCCTTTAATCAAAACCATTTACATAATCTTCCTACTTTGAAGGGGAAAGTAAAATTTAAATGTTAATGAAGTTTACAATTTTCCAGTTCAGTTTCTTTTAAAACAATAGTTTATCCCAAAATGCTACAGTAATATATAAATCACAAAAGTATTACATTTTATATATACATAATAAATATAACATTACATAGTAGTTGTATGGAAACAAAAAGAGGGGAAAATTAAGTGAGTTGCATATTGTGATTCTATGAATTGTTTTACACTTTTGAAAAAAATGTTTGATGTAGTAATTAAAAATATTGATGATTCGTTTCGGAAAGAAAGACTTTTTACCCAACAAGTGTCTCCTATAGAACAGAGATTACTTTTGTCAATGACGGTGCGTTGTCCACAGTCAGTGTTGCTGCCGTGACACGTAAAGCAGGCTATGGGTTCAACCTATAATGATATCAACACGTATGCAATAAAGCAGTCTCTTATCAGTAAATATATCTATCATAAACTATTTATTTTGCAGTTTAGTTCGCGTAAATGCTCTTTTCATGTTTCAATTTATTTATGATTTTGAATGGTTAACATAATAATTATGCACATAAACACGCCGCTCGTGTGAATATTGTTTGGAGCTCATTCAACGAAGTAAAATTGCATTTTTCTAAAACAACAATATCCTCTATATAGAACAAAATTTTGAATGGTAAAAAAATTAATAATGAAAATGAGTTACCGGTATACTCGTTTTAGTTTAAATAGTTGCAATTTCGTGAAACGACTTACATGATTTTCAGTGCGGCAATCGAATTTTTATGTTAACAAATATTTCATCAACTTTTATAGTCTCTTGAAATTCATGCATCAGGAGCGTTTATCAATTGTACATTTTTTATCTCCTGTAAAACACATCTACAAGGATGGTAAATAAACATTACAAGAAAAGTCCTATGGATGCGGCTGAGAATCAGGTTTGCGTTTCATTGAAAGTTAAGACCAAAACTGAGATACTTTGTTTCAAAGAAATTGTCTCAACTTGTGTCTCCTGTGTTTGCGATGCAGATGAATACTAGGGATCGAAGCACGTGCCATTGTATCTTTCTGAAGATAATTTAATAAATAAAAGTAAAAAAACTTTTACTAAGATAAAATTATATATTGAAACGTCCTTCATTAGTCCTATAGTTTGTCTTAAATCCTAGGACTTCGGATACACTTAGAACTTTCTATGAAACGCAGCCCAGACCATAAAGTAAAAATCTGAACAATCTTGTATTTCAATCTGGCTAAAATTCAAATCTACTTATTTCTTTCACGTAAAAGCGTAGAAACATTCAGAAGCTGGTTTTTATCAGGGAACAGTATCTAAATCTGATATTGAGACCGTTAATTGTGTATACGGGGCGGGATAACAAACTAAATATGACGAAACAGCAATATATTGGTTATTGCCATGAAACTTATTTGTGTTAATCTAAGTAACACTTAACCTGGAATAGTTTAGCGAATGGGGAAACCCTCTTAAAACATAGTTCATGAAAAGCTTTCAGGATAACGGCGCTTTTAAATATATATACACTTTAACACACTTATCATATATATCTTCTTTCTTCTAAATATGCCCTATCAGCTGATTTCTTTCACAATGATTTGAAACTCTACAACCGAACTACGACATTTAAAAGTGACACAATAAAAGTAGTAAAACATGCTTATTCTGATATTATAATTTAATAAGTTTTATAGGAAAGGTTCACCAAATATCATTTTTATAGACTAAAAAAAAGAATAAGACAATTATTTTTTCATTCAGCCGCCTTATAAAATGGAAAGAAGAATCGAAAAAGGGAAGAAACAGTTTAGTTTTGCTAATTTCTGAATATGTAAAGAAAATTATGATTTTTTTTAGGTGTACACATAATAAAGTGAATTAATTAACTCTAGATAGCTTACTATTTATATATATATATGCCCCAAAATGTATGTCAAAAAGACAGGAATAGTCTTAACTTTGTTGGTAGAAAATACTCGTAAAAGCAACAACAAAAATTAGTTTCCATAAGACATGCAATACGAGTGTGCTACGCACTGACCTGATTTAAATTTTATTTTAGTGTTTTAAACGCTGTTTAATGTTCTTAGATAAGTTGGGTTGTAAAATGTTTAAAAGTTAGTTTGTTTCTTTTCTAAAGACGGCTGTTGACCACTTCTATTTACGCGTTCAACAGTTTCGTATACGACTTTAATTCTTCATGTATTGAAGAACATATATTTAATAACTACAATGAAAGCACTTGGAGACATATATTCTAATAACAACATTAAACTTACCCTTCCTTCAGATTAAATATACAAACATCAAAAAATGTATGAATACATATAATATGAATATAAATGTTTCCATTGAATCTTGTAATAACCAAAATCTCATGTGGCAGCGTGAACGAGCGGCTATTAATTTAAAAAGTAAGAATAGCTGATAACGTACAAGCTCTAGCCTTGTCAGGGAAACTTTACGCTCATGCTTAGTACTGGTCGATCGCTTCTAGGTATGGATTCTTAAGTGTGTCTATAAGCATATAGCTTCTAAAACAATCAAGTTAAACAAGAAATATCTGTAAACAAGATACTTGGCTGAGGTAAATTTGCGTTTACTTGAAAAATCATTTCGAATTTTTGCATTCATGCAGAAATGTTCACAGTGTCTGTTTAATGATATAATAGTGTCAGTTTATTACTTGTGCAAATTCAAAGTTGTGATCACAAACAGTATGTATTATGCAGGGTTCACAGAACGGCTGTAAGTTACGAGTTGTTTTACTGTGCTAGTTTATGTATGGGCAATATCTCCCCTATACGACATAGAAGCGACCCAGAACAAAACACCCAATAATCTAGATTTGGCTGTTTATCGGAGAATCACATGGGCCAATTACTCTTCGACCGAAGTTTTCATGTGTCAAATCAGTTTTTTAGCTCACAAAGTGACAGGGTGAGCTTTTGTGATCGCTTTTCGTCCGGCGTCCGTCCGTCCGTCGTCCGTAAACTTTTACTTTAAATGATATCTCCTCATATGCCACTAAGCCAATTTCATCCAAAATTCACAGGAATGTTCCTTTGGTGGTCACCTTTAAAAAATGTTCAAAGAATTCTATGCAGAACTCTGGTTGCCATGGCAACCGCAAGAACTTCTTTTTAAAAAAACAAAGAGCTAGAGCTTAGATATTTAGCATAAAACATCTTCTAGTGAGTGTCTACTAAGTTTGTTGAAATTAAATTGGCCTTACCCCAGGGGGTCATTGATTTTCCCGATATGCATATAGTAAAAACTTTAAAAATCTTCTTTTAAAGAACCCAAAGAGTTAGAGGTAAGATATTTAGCATGAATTTTCTTCTAATGGGTGTCTACCAAGTTTGTTCAAATAAAAGCCCTGGGGTCAAAATTGGCCCCGCCCCAGACGGTCTTTGATTTTCCCTATATGCATATAGTAAAAAGAACCCAAAGAGCTAGAGCTAAGGTATTTAGCATGAAACATGTTCAAATGGATGTCTACCAAGTTTGTTCAAATAAGAGCATTGGGGTCGAAATTGGCCCCACCCTGGGGGTCATTGATTTTCCTTTTATGTGTATATCAAAAACTTAAAAAATCTTCTTTGAAAAACCCAAATAGCTAGAGTTTAGATACTAAGCATGAAACATTTTCTAGTGAGTGTCTACAAACTTTGTTCAAATAAAAGCCCTGGGGTCAAAATTGGCCCCGCCCCGGGGACCATTGATTTTCCTGTATAGCAAAAACTTAAAAAAAAATCTTCTTTGAAAAAACCCAAATAGCTAGAGTTTAGATATTAAGCATGTAACATCTTCTAGTGAGTGTCTACAAAGTTTGTTCAAATAAAAGCCATGCGGTCAAAGTTGGCCCCGCCCAGGGGGACATTGGTTTTCCTTATATGTGTATAGCAAAAACTTAATTATCTTCTTTGAACAAAACCAAATAGCTAGAGTTAAGTTAAAACTGGCCCGGCCCCAGGGGTGTCATTGTTTTTAAAACTATATGTGTATAGTAAAAACTAAAACAAACTTCTTTTAAAAAACGAACGGCCTTCGTGGTCAATTCCTACGCATTAAAACTCCAAACCGGTGTTAAATAGCCGATATACACCTCTCAGGCCGATGTTATTTCTTAAGCAAAGATCGAAGACGCCATCACGTACAAAACATACACTGATTCTTATAATTTCATTCCTATTCCAATTCATTTTAACCCTCGTCGCTTTAGACTGAAACAGAATTTATTAAGTAATATGCATAATTCTGAATGTAATTTTAGACTTCTAACTGCGTAATCTAAATCAGCCACCATGGAAAATCGATTTAAACTTAAATATCTGAAAATTTTATATAAAACGTGAAAGAACTGAAAAATCTGAGAAACTTTTTAAAAAAAGTTCGTTTTCGAAACTCCCCTTTTAGATCAATAATTAAAGATTACGTAAACCATTTCAGAAAGAGCCTTTATATCATTTTACTTATTTTAGAATGGCCAATGGGATTCCCATGTTTCAGTTTGAGTTTTAAAAAATTCCAATCAAAATTCTACTTATATTCAATTCCTTCCTGTAAATTTTACAGAATGTCGTCCTTCACATTTTGCAGGAAGTCGAACTGATTTTAGACGGCCTTTCATGGTTTTGTGTATGGATCATATACGTATACGAGTTCCTTTATAAACTTACTTGACATACTTTCAGTTGAAATCGAACTTCTAGACTCAGTAGATATAAAATACATCGTTGTACTACCATACGCTTGAGAACTGCCTGTGGTACTGTAATAAGCCTGATCGTCGTTGTTGTCACCTGGCAGACGTCCAGGGTCAGGACCTGGTTGCCTAACATTTGGTATAAAACCGCCCGTAAGAAAAGTCGTGGACTGTGTGTTTCCGGGAGATGTAGAATTGTTGGCCCAAGGTGTCACACTTCCTGGTTCTGGATTTGGAGGAAAAGAACTCCCTATGTGTTGACAAAGATGCAGAACGATGACTACCGCTTTAAATAGAAACAACAATGTTTACATGCTTTGATTAAAAGACATTAAAGCATTGCTATTTATTTAAAATATTGTCCAGTTATAAGCATATTGCAAAACGTATTTTTTACTAGACACTGTGCTCCTCTTCATGGTACTGAACGCATTAAAACAAGAAAGAAAAACATTGTGGCATCTTTACTTGCAACTGCAACTGTGTCCCTAATTTAAAAAGATAACTTGTTTTAACAGTAAATTCATTGTTGAAATGGTTTTACCAAAGGCTACTGACACGGTAATAGTTTAAAGAACTCGTTTTTAGAAATCGTTTTTATGGGTTTTTTTTTAATTACAATATAACCATATAATATCCAGCATGTATAATGATATATATTCAATGTTCTCTTTTCATTGACAAACATAGATGCATGAACCATTCTGTAAATAATGTAGAAAAGAAAGAGAAATCAAATGAGCCGCGTCACGACAAAACCAACATAATGCGTTTGCGACCAGCATGGATCCAACCCAGCCTGCGCATCCGTGCAGTCTGATCAGGATCCATGCTGTTCGCTTACCAACCCTATTACAAGTAGCAAAACTGATAGCGAACAACATGGATCCTGATCAGACTGCGCGGATGCGCAGGCTGGTCTGGATCCATGCTGGTCGCAAACGCATTACGTTGGTTTTGTCCTGACGCGGCTCAAATGATTTAACTTACGTATACAGTCCCGGTTGGTATTGAATATAACGTACATATAACAGATTGTTCAGTTAAAAAAATCTAGAGAATAAGCCCAAATGGTTATGAAAATAGATACTGTGTACCAATAATCGTGGAAAATTTATGTTAATGTCTTTTAGTTCCAAAAATCATCTACAAAAAAATAGTTTCCAAAAATATTTTTACATATCTATCTCCTATAAAGTTAACATGTATTTCTCGACCACAACTACAGTTTGTGCTTCTGCAAAAAATTTTCAATCTTGCGAATAAATTATTTCATACATTCTTTCCAAATTCAACTTTATTTTTTTTTAATTTTTGTACACCCACAAATGTTAAACGATAAGTTTAAACATCGTATTAACGCGTTTTGTTCCTCTTTGAAAAATATATTATCTTTCAACACAATTGGATATACTTCATCAAGAATTTCAAAAATATAGCTTTGATTAAGTTATATCACTTGATTAAAGAGTTAATTTTCAGTTACTAAACAAATGTTCTGCTTACCAAATCTGCTTGAGACTCTGTCATTCCAGCAAAGTTTACCAACCATTTTCCCAGAAGTACGAAACTGTGTTTGACTGTTTGCTGTTTAAGCGGAGCCTTGTATTACTAGATCTAATATGCTTATATTTCTCCCATTCAATTGTTTACGATATTTTTTTCTAAATAAAGACTATACGTATGTAAATGTTCAACTGCAATAAGAAGTTATCAGTTTTAATGATTTAATTTCATTATATACTCATCACCAAATTGATTCTCTTTCAATGATTTTCCTGTCGCTATGGAAATAATTGTTTGACGCCTTCTTGTATTCTGTGAACTTTATTTGCCAGACATTTGTCATTAACTTTTCCTTTAAATGTGCGAAGAATGACACGCCCTGATCTTGTCTAGTTAAAAGAAATCTTCCTAGGTACAAATGTTGCAAAGCTATGAATTGTAAATAAGGAAATCAACTATCAATCAAATAAATTATGTAAAATAATTACCGGGAAAAAACACTCACAAAATTCAACTGTCGCCAATTTTTACTCAAGACAATTTTTACGGTAAAATAAATATTTAATTTGTATTAATGTTATATCTTCTGATTAAAGGAATCAACTATCGATCAAATGAAATATGTAAATAAATGAAAACAAAAGCCACCGCCGGGCAGTGGCAACGCTTGACTTTATTTAAACTTCTTTAGTGCAAACAAATAAAAGGGGTAAACAAATTTTTTAAAAATGAAAGCAAAAAAAAAGTTATTCCTTTTTGAAAAATTTAATCCATGATGTTCAATTTTTTCACCTGAAATTGTTCATCAAAATATAAGAAAGTAGGTCATTTAGTTCACTTCATTTAAATCTAGGTCAGTTTATATCAAAGTTCAATTTTACATTTAAAACTGTACACATTGCTCTACATCAAAGGAAAAAAGTCACTTCGTTAAATTATCTAGGTCAGCAGATATCAAAGATCAATTTTACATCTAAAACTGTGCACATGGTCCAAAATCCATAGCTGTATACCAAAGGACCAGAAAGTAGGTCACTTTGGCAAATTTTCTAGGTCACCTTATATCAAAGTTCAAAAGTAGGTCACTTCATCAAAATCCAAGTCAGCTGATATAAAAGTTCAATTTTACATCTAAAACTGTGCACAAGGTTTTTAAATCTTATTGCTAAATAGAATACAATAAAAGAATTTCATTAATTTGACATTGACAGTCAATGTTAGTTAAAGGTCAAGGTCAAATCTGAATTATTCAATATGTTCGTTTGGTAGAAAGGCTTGTTTTGTCCAAGTATAAATCAAATCCGTACATAAATAACAAAAATAAATTTTACCAAAATTCAATAATTTTGACCTTGACTGTCAAGGTCATTTAAACCTTAAGGTCAATGTCAGTTCAACCTTTTAGGAGGTCTAGTCCAAAAGGTTGTTTTGTCCAGATAATCCATTATAAATTACCAAGATGATCTCTTGACGTACTTCTTAATAAAAAGTGATTTGAAAAAGCTGTGAAAAAATAGTGTGTACAAGAAAAGCATGGTGTTATTTTATGAATATTTATATGTATTGATGGGAAATGAAAGTATTGACTGACAAAGATTTGGATATGTTGTATATGTGTGTGTTTACTTTTTGCTGATGCTATTCAGTCCTGATAAATATACAAGCCCAGTTAAACATGATTTTTTGTTCCAGTAAGATGTGAAATAACAGGTAAAAGACTGGGGTGAATTTACCTACAAGTTAATTGCATTTAATTTGCAGAAAATAGCATCATGATAAAATATGAAGCATGTACAAAAATGTGTTTTGCTGTTTGAGCAGGGACGAAGGGTAAAATATACACCAAATATATATCTGCATAGATCTGTTAAAAATGGAAACTTATATACATATTAAACTTTATTTTAGAATAGTGTTTTTGAGAAATAAATGTAATATCATTTTTTGAGGTTTAATGGGCCTTTAACTTCATTGCACAAACAAACTATTGCAGCTGTGTTTCTTTTCTATCTATTTTTCATTGAAAAAAAAAGACAAACAGACTCAAAACGTTCTTGAAATGAGCAGCGTCACGACAAAACCAACATAATGGGTTTGCGACCATCATGGATCCAGATCAACCTGCGCATCCGCGCAGTCTGATCAGGATCCATGCTGTTCGCTATCAGTTTCTCTACTTGTTATAGCATGGATCCTGATCAGACTGCGCGGATGCGCAGGCTGGTCTGGATACATGCTGGTCACAAACGCACTATGTTGGTTTTGTCGTGGCGCGGCTCAAATGTAACGTATACCGTATACGAATTGTGCGAACGAGGGATGAGTATACATAATAATACAAAATGTAATAATAATAAAACTTTATTTTAAGAAGGTAACATATAAGTGTACAAAGTTTAAATTATATACAAAAGCATATAGTATGTGTCATTTTACCATTTGACATTTTTTGAAACACTCGTTTTTCCCCATAGATTTATTTTAGTCCGATTGTGTAAGAAGTTATACGCTTATAGGCACATTCTATAAGCTTATTCTTTGTGCAGCAATATTTGCACTTCATATTTTGCAATCAGCATGGTAAAACGGCTTTACGTACAAATCAATACAGAAGTGTCTTTTTATTCTCAAAAGACCCGTAACTAATTACAGGTGATACAAATTTAAATGTTTTATTTAGCATGAATAATTTCAAGTAAACGAATCAAAGAAATCAGTGTCTGGTTTTTAGCTTCTTATTGTAAACATAGATTAAGGGGCCGGTACCCAAGATTAATGAAATCTTTGAAAGGTTAGATAATAATGGAATAATTCACAATATTGTTTTGAACTGGTTAACGCCTGATGACAAAAATCAAAACAATTACATTTTAAAAAAACACTTTTTGGAGCAGCATGCCTCCAGCTTCATGCTAATTTTCATGATATTTTCAAATGCATAAAAAAGTAAAAAAATGACAGGTAAACAAAGACAAGAGGGCCATGATGGCCCTGATGTCGCTCACCTGTACATAGGCCCCCGGAGCGGGGCCAGTTTAAACCCCGGGGCTTTTATTTGAACAAACTTGGTAGACAACCATTAGAAAATGTTTCATGCTAAACATCTAAGGTCTAGTTTGTTGGGTTTTTTAAAAGAAGATTTTTTTAAGTTTTTTCTTTACACATATAGTTAAAAACAATGACACACCTGGGGCAGGGGCAGTTTTGACCCCAGGGCTTTTATTTGAACACTATTTGTAGACACTTACTAGAAAATGTTTCATGCTTAATATCTAAACTCTAGCTATTCGGGTTTTTTCAAAGAAGATTTTTAAGTTTTTGCTATACTCGTATAAGGAAAATCAATGTCCCCTGGGGCGGGCCAAGTTTGACTCCATGGCTTTTATTTGAACAAAATTTGAAGACACTCACTAGAAGATGCTTCGTGCTTAATATCTAAACTCTAGCTATTTGAGTTTTTTCAAAGAAGATTTTTTAATTTTTGCTATAGTTTTACACATATAGGGAAAACGAATGACCTCCGGGGTGGGGCCAATTTTGACCCCAGGGCTTTTATTTGAACAAACTTTGTAGACACTCACTAGAAGATGTTTCATGCTCAATATCTAAACTCTAGCTATTTGGTTTTTTCCAAAGAAGATTTTTTAAGTTTTTCCTATACACATATAAGGAAATTTGAAAAATCAATGACCCCCTGGGTTGGGCCAATTTTGACCCCAGGGCTCTTATTTGAACAAACTTGGTAGACATCCATTAGAACATGTTTCATACTAAATATCTACAAAATATCTTAGCTCTAGCTCTTTGGGTTCTTTAAAAGAAGATTTTTAAGTTTTTACTATATGCATATGGGGAAAATCAATGACCCCCTGGGGCGGGGCCAATTTTGACCCCAGGGCTTTTATTTAAACAAACTTGGTAGACACCCATTAGAAGATGTTTCATGCTAAATATCTTAGCTCTAGCTCTTTGGGTTCTTTAAAAGAAGATTTTTAAAGTTTTTACTATATGTATATAGGGAAAATCAATGACCCCCTGGGGCAGGGCCAATTTTGACCCAATGGCTTTTATTTAAACAAACTTGGTAGACATCTATTAGAAGGTGTTTCATGCTAAATACCTTAGCTCCAGCTCTTTTGGTTCTTTAAAAGAAGATTTTTTAAGTTTTTACTATATGCATAAAGGGAAAATCAATGACCCCCTGGGGCGGGCCAATTTTGAACCCAGGGCTTTTATTTGAACAAACTTGGTAGACACCCATTAGAAGATGTTTCATGCTAAATATCTTAGCTCTAGCTCTTTTGGTTCTTTAAAAGAAGATTTTTTTAAAGTTTTTACTATATGTATATAGGGAAAATCAATGACCCCCTGGGGCAGGGCCAATTTTGACCCAAGGGCTTTTATTTGAACAAACTTGGTAGACATCTATTAGAAGGTGTTTCATGCTAAATACCTTAGCTCTAGCTCTTTTGGTTCTTTAAAAGAAGATTTTTTAAGTTTTTACTATATGCATAAAGGGAAAATCAATGACCCCCTGGGGCGGGGCCAATTTTGACCCCAGGGTTTTTATTTGAACAAACTTGGTAGACACCCATTAGAAGATGTTTCATGCTAAATATCTTAGCTCTAGCTCTTTTGGTTCTTTAAAAGAAGATTTTTTTAAAGTTTTTACTATATGCATATCGGGAAAATCAATGACCCCCTGGGGCGGGGCCAATTTTGACCCAAGGGCTTTTATTTGAACAAACTTGGTAGACACTCACCAGAAGATGTTTCATGCCAAAAATCTAAGCTCTAGCTCTTTGGGGTTGTTAGAAGAAGATATTTTAAGATTTTTCTTTTGGTTGCCATGGCAACCAGAGTTCTGCATGGAATGGAATTCTTTGAACAATTTGTTAAGGCTTCACACAAGGAACATCCCTGTGAAGTTTCATTATGATCTGCCTTATGGTTTCAGAGGAGATGTCGTTTTAAAAGTGTGAACGGACAACGGACGACATACGACGGACGACAGACGACGGACGAAGAGTGATCCTAATAGCTCGCCCTTAGCATATGCTCAGGTGAGCTAAAAATAATTTATACATTGCAAACGGCACTAAATCGCTATGAAAATTACCAAAAATAT